CTTTCCCTTCATATCACATTCTCGATGATTGGTTAATAAAAATTTAGTGCCAGTTGAGAGCAGGTTAAGCTATCTACAATTCTCTGTCTTAAGTTATGCGAAGATATTCAAAACATGAAGTGTATTTCTTATAATGTGCCATTAGGCCTTTCATGCATCTTTCGTAAAAATAAAAAATAAAAAATATATGAAGATGAAAATTTTTACTTAATTTGTGAGTTGGAGACTTAAAATACAATAAAGTTGATAGAAGTAGGGTTGTCAAAACGGCTCGTTGTTCGCGAACAGCTTGTGTTCGGCTTGTTAAGAAGCCTGTGTTTGGCTCGTTCGCTAATTTATTGAGCCGAACACCAATAATTTTTTGTTCATTCGTGTTCGGCTTGTTTTTGGCTCGAAATACTACTAATCAAATATATATATATATTTGATGTGTAGTATTTTTAAAAAATTTAATTGACTACAAGGCTACAGAGATTTATAATCAATTAAAAGTATTAATAAGGAAAATAGAATAAAAATTATTAAATTAGATTCAAATAATATTTTAAATATTGTCTCAATTCTTAACATCTTGTGGCTACGTGATTAGGGTTGTCAAAACGATTTTTTGTTCGTGAACGGCTCGTGTTCGGCTCGTTAAGCAAAACGAGCTGAACACGAACACACTTATTGAGCTCGAAATGTAAACGAGCCGAACACAAGCTAAGTCTGGGCTCGCTTTTGTTCGGCTCGTTTACACCCCTAAATAGAAGTGTTAATGAAGCAAAATCCTGAAGATATGAAAACCAGAGTAGTTTTTATGAGCAAGATAATACATATTTTAAGAATCTATGGGCGGTAACATCTCTAGTACTTAATCTCTTTAGTGTAGTTTAAAATAAACATGAAAACCGATAAAATATTATTTATAAATTTAGAATTTATCCATTGCTACTATTATAAATTATTATAACAACTATTAAATGTAATTATTATTAATTAATTTAATCACTTTTTCTTATCTATATATACTCTATTAGCTATTAGTTTTAGTTCAAACTCTGAAAAAGAGAAAAAAATGAATTTTTGAAGTGAGAGGGTGAGAGGGCATGGGTTTGAATCTCTATTTTTCTTAATATTGGGAGAGAGAGTGGTCTATTAGGAAGAGATCTCTATGTTGCTTGAGCAAGAAGATGCACTTAGCGAGGGAAAAATATTTGTCCAGGCTCCGAATGTAGTTATACGTGCGGACTTCTAGTAATATACCGTCATGTATGTTTTATCGGGCCCACCTAAAAAAATTAAAGTAGATCTGCAGACTCCTCAATAACCCCGAAATAACCTCAGAATAACTCTCGCAGAGTTATTTCAGGGTTATTGAATTAAAATGTATGGATTTCTCTTCAATAACCTCGAAATAACACAACGGAAGTTATTTTGAGATTATTTTTATGTTATTTCAAGGTTATTGAAGTGGAATATATATGTTTCTCTTCAATAACTCCAAAATAATCTTGAAATAACCTCTGCGTTGTTATTTCGGGTTATTAAAATGAAACCGCAAAGGTTAATTCGGGGTTATTGAAGTAGAATATATAAGTTTCTCTTTAATTACCTTAAAATAACCTCCGCAGTTTCACTTCAATAACCCTGAAATAACATCCGCGATGTAACACACGTGACGACATATTATTGGACACGATGTAACACACGTGACGACATATTATTGGAGTCCACACATAGAGCTACGTCCGGAGTCCAGACAAATTTTTTTTTCCTTAGCGAGAGAGTAAATTATAAGGAGAAGCTACAAGCACAACAAAGGACATTGTGGTATTGAGTTGCTCAATCTATCTTGCTTTGTATATTATTCATTTTCCCTTTTAAGTTTGCAGCATATAAATATCTATATTATTCTCTTGTAACTTAAATAGGTAAAAATTTATGTTTGTATTTATCATCTTGCTAACTTTTTCTTACACTGATTTAATCATAGATTCAAATTAGCAGTCACTTTTATCCTTTACTTTATTGATAAAAAAGATATTGAGATCACATGTAGAGTTATGTAAACTTGAAAAACATAAATATTGTTATGGCCGGAATGAGATTTTCACATGGAAAAATTATTTTTGTGAATGATTTTCTACTAAAATAATCTTCTATAACTATATAATGGAATCAATATTTGTTCAAACTTATAAATATTAATCTCTATTAAGATTAATTCTTTATTATTAGTTTGATTTTTTACTATTTCAATTTTATGGTCCTTAAAGTTTGAACATATTTAATTTTTGTTGTCATTAATCATGAGACAATTTGTTTAATTATTCGTTGTTAACAGATAAACATTTAACTTTATAGAGAAAATAGGGATATACACATGTAATCAAAATGATTTCTATGCTAAAAGAACATCCAAGTGAAGAGAATCAAAGATAACTTAAAAAAGAATCTCTTTTTAAATAGTTTTTGAGACATTGAGGCAAATTCTAATTACTCTAAGAAAATATAAAGTAACATGTTTATATCTTTATGCATGCATGTTTAGAATAAAAGCAAAGATGGATAAGAATATCATGTTTTTTATATAATTATTTTAAAAAATTAAGTAAAAAGTTTCTAGAATCAAACGATAATCAGTACTAAAGAAACAAAATATAAACAGTTAAAAATTAAGTATAAACATCCATATAGCAAAAAAAATTACGCAACTAAACATTGAGTTTGTACTATGATAGGGTAATGAGTGGAACACGTTAATATTTTCACCCTAATAAAAGGTAATAATATATTCTAATAAAATGGGATAGGCTAAGACTTTTTGGTGGAATTAACCACATAAGAAAGTTGTGTATTCATTATAACTTAAAAGTAATATAGGTATAAAAATAGTTTTTAACATGAATAATACATTAGAATAAAGTTAAATCACCTCAAAAGTTTAGAGATCACTCACTATGTTGCTATATTGGAGATAAATCCACTATGAGGAAAGCTTTCCTTAAAAAAAAATTGATGTATAGATGTTTTTTGAAGAAATTTCTCTGAGGTTTTGCTTGGATTTCAAAGCTGATGTTAGCGAGAGGCTTGATGAATATATAGATATAATCTGGAATTGATCGTATGGTTTCAATGGGTTGTAATCGGAAGGGGATCAAGCCTCAGTAAGGTGGACCTTATCGTGACCAATGGCATCTAGAGGGCTTTTGAAAATATTTTTGAGGACTATAGATGCTGGGAAGTGGTGTAAGGCCATAGGAGTAGAAGCAAAAGAGATTAGGAGAGATGACAAAGGAATTTAAATAAGAAATAAAAGATAAACCTTCCCACCAGGGAAGATCAATAATCGACCGCCAAGCTCCAACCATGGAGCGTTTTTTCTGTCTGGACTCCTGACGTAGCTCTTAGTGCGGCGTAGGTTATTCTTGAGTTATTTTTAGGTTATTTCTGGGTTATTTTCAATAATACCGAAATAACCTAAAAACAACCCGCGGTCTTTATTTTTGGCGGGTTGTTTTTAGGTTATTTCGGTATTATTGAAAATAACCCAGAAATAACCTGAAAATAACTCAGAAAAAACTTCGTTCGCACGTAGAGCTACGTAAGGAGTCCGCACAAAAAAATTTTTGAGACAACCATGAGAGAACTTTCTCTCCAATTTTTTTAATTATAGAAATTGAGCATTCAATTCATTTAAAGCTATTTAAATAGATTTTACATTATTTCTTAAGCTACATTAATTTTAAACGCAGAGAAAAAAAAAATCATTAAAATGAAACATAGTTGGCTAACCAAAGCATATTCCAAGGGGCATTAAAAAAAGCAAAATGACACTTCTGAATTTAAATTTCAAAGCCCATTTTTTAAATCAAAAGTTTGGGATTTTAAAATTCAAATCGCACTTAATCAGGCATGATCCATTGCAATGGATTCCCTTTCATCTTGATCATATTGATGTTCCACATTAGTGGCTCTTCAATAGCATCTCTAGATACTTGAGAGAAATTCCTAAAGTATTAGTATTGAATCCTAGTGAAAATCTCTAATCTTAAGTGCGGTTGTGGGCACCAAAGGAATCTTCGTAAAACTCTCTCTTTAATATATGTTTTATTTTTGTCTTATCATAGTTTTATTACCATCATAACTGTTGGT